TAGTATTTTTTCTCGAACATCGGTTCTTTGGAATTCGCTTCCTTCATCTTGCTTTCCTGATTCATATAATTTGCAATCTTTTAAGTCGTCAGTCAATCGTTACCTTGCTTTACAATCTTCATCTTTTCTCTTCCAGTAACTTCCAACACTAATTAGTGTTTGCTTGCAGCCTTGTTGGAAGCAAATATGTTTTTTTTAAAAAAAAAAAAAAAAAAGCACATATTTTATCATATAATTTTGATGCATATATATGTCATATTTATATTTGAAATAATGCATTTTTTTTAATGTTTAGATAATTTTTTTAGGTACAAAATACAAAAAGTATGTATATATGTAAATGTATATTTTGCAGAAAATTATTAACTCAACTATTCTTACATTCTACTTTTTTTATACTTACATTGGTTTGCAACAATTTTTGATATTAAACTTTACATTTAATATTTGTATATTGAATATTTTTAATAGACAAATGGACTATTTGATTCTTGTTTGCATTTTTAAAAGCAGAAAAAAATTATTTTAACATGAAAAATTATAAATCTATCTTTATTATACTTTAGACTATTGCATTATCTATTTGATTTCTACTATTGTCAAGCATTAGTAGAAATAAAATTCATTGATTTATAAAAGAAAACAAGTTTATATCTATAGAAAAAAGATAAGCAGAAATAATTCTATTTCTGAACAACATCTGAATTTAAGGATCAATTTTCAAAATTCATTTTTGAATACAGTAAACAATGGGCTTCAACTGCAAGATTTAATGATAAACTCATAAAGGAAAATTTAGCCTGATTTTGTGAAGACTTTATTCTTCCAAAACAAAATATTTTTTCATGCAATACAGAAAATACAGTTAACTTATCTCTTGGAAAGCCAGTTAAATCATTTAAGGAGTTATCAGAAAAATCTAAAAAGTGACAAAAATGCTATATGTTAGTAGTTGCAAACTTTATAAAGGAAGAAAAAAAGATAAAAAGGTAGTTTTAAATTTGTCAAAAATTCAAATATATGAACATACACAAAATACTCCTTAGCACTCATATTAGATAATAATAGGAGTATTTCTGATTATCAGCGCTTTCAAAACAATGCCATAAGAAAAAAAATTACAATTTATATCCATCTTATAATAATCTATGCAAAGCAAAAGAATTCTATCTTCCAGAACGTAGCTTTTGGACTGTCACTGACTATGAAGCAGAAGTCATCATGCAAGCACTAGTCAGCCACACAGTGCTACGCTTGATAAAATGTCAGAGAGAAGTTATAAAGTCAATAAAAAATATTCAAAGCATGACACTAAGGTTAAAAGTTGGTTTTGATGGATCAACTGGTCAAAGACTTACTCAAACTATACTCAAAAAAGAACAAAGAACAACAACAACAAAAAACAGCAAATGAAGCTAGCTTATTCTTCACTTATAATATATAATCCCTCTTTCACCGTTACTATATTCCTGAATATAGTAACGGTGAAAGGGGGATTATTTAGTCTAACACTTATCCATCATCCACCGTATTTTGAAAATCTATAAGATTTTCCTATAAAAAGAAACATAAGATATATTAAAAGAAGAAGAATTGCTCGTCAACTCATTTGAAAAATTATTTACTAAAAAAACTTTACAGTTCTGCACACAACTGAAATCATAATAGTGGATAGAAAAGTTGCCACAGCACTATCCACAGCAACAAAATCCTTAATGTTGCACTATTCACAGCAACAAAATTGTTAGAATGCTTAGTTTGTGATTGCAACCTAAAAAAAAATGACATAAACACAGTAAAATATCTTTCACTAACTAAAACTAGGCTAAATTATGGGTTTTCAACTCTCCATGATCATGATTAGATTAGAACTAAGGAATGCCTTTTCAAAATAAGCTGTAAATTAACAATAAAGAAGTGGACCACACAAGAAATATCAAGAAAAATAATTATTCAAGATAGAAAAGCATTAATTCAACAGAGATTTCGTGCACATTATCATCAGGATATCTAATTGATTCATCTCGATCTAGAGACTTCTGCATTCAAACAGCTGAACGATATGTGAACCTGTATTCACGGTATTATAATTGATTCATCTCGATTTAGAGACTTCTGCATTCAAACAGCTGAACGATATGTGAACCTGTATTCACGGTATTATATGGAACGATATGTGAACCTGTATTCACGGTATTATATGGAACGATATGTGAACCTGTATTCACGGTATTATATGGAAACATATAATCATAATGTAGCTGCTTGAATTTTTTTTTCAATTTTTCAGTTGTTATGTTTCATATGTTTCTTCTACAAGTATTCTTCTTTTTTTTATATATCAAGCATTTGGATTTATATTGAAGATGATTTTTTAAATTTTATTTTCTATTTATAATATAAAAATTTTCAAAATAATCTAAAATTCAAATGTGTAGTTGTTTTGCAATATGGCTTCCAGAGTCAACAATTTAAAAGTCAAGTTGTCATTATTAAATAGTTTATACGGCAAAAATCGCTTACTAACCATTATTATACAAAAACAAAAACTTTAGTCCAGTTAAAGTAAATTCTGGCCTACTGTGCAATTGTGAGACTTATCTTTAAAAAAAGCTATGAACACATGCGTGCCAAAATAAGATTACTAATGATCAAAAAGATTTTATAGATTTGTTTTGATGTTTCAAATTCTTTTTTGGAGAAAATAAAATTCTCATAATACAAATTAAAGAGAACAGTATACAAAACTAATCAGATACAGTAACAATAATTTTAAAACTGCAAATGCATTTTAATATTTTTGAAGTTATTATTTTAAGATCTTACCGCCAACAAAAATAAAATTAAAAAATAAAAATTACCAATTTAGCATATTTTATATTTACATTTTTAACTAAGTATACTTTGTAGAAATTATAATGATAAACTAAAATTATAATTTTGTTGCCAACTTCAGTTTAGGTGAAATGACTACTGATATTATTTTACTATCTGCTTGAACATAATTCAGAATTTATGTTGTGCATTGATTATTGATTTTTATTTAAAAAAAATATTTTTTCATGTATTCTTTACTTACATATTTATTTTTTAATTTTAAAACATTTATTTTACTTATTTTTATTTCAATGAGTTTTATTAACTACTAGCTTTTAATTCTTAAATTTTTAAATTTTAAGTCAATTATAATTTTTATATATTTTATATATATATAATTATACATTTTTAAAAATTTTTATATTTGCATGTTTTTACACACTTAATTTAATATTGTACTTTATGTATTTTATTCAATACTTTTTAATATTTACCTTTTCAAAATGAGCTGTAATAGCTAACCACATTTTCATAAAAGTAGACAATATGTTTGATGTTTTCATAACAATGTTTAAAAGTAGACAATATGTTTGATGTTTTCATAACAATGTTTATGAAACATTGTTAATAGAACTGTTAACAAAATAGTCTTTGTCATTAATAGAAAAAACCTTTGTTTTATATTTAACTAGTCATCAATGCTAATGGATGATGCTATTATATAATTGTTTAGGTTATTGTTGGATTTGTTGTTAATTGATGTTTCTATTGTGATAATGATCTATATTATCACTGTTTATTAAAGTTAATAAGTAATAATAAATAAAACAATAAAGAATAAAAAAAATTATATTCTACAAAATCACATACATTAACTTTAATAAAAAGAGACCAAAAAAATTTATGCGAAAAACATCTATATCTATAATAAGGCCAATATACAACAAAATTCTTATCACCAACATGCTAAAATTAAGTAAAGGTTAGATGTTTGATTTTCAAGTTATTTGTTTAACTGTTAGAAATAAACTGTGCTGAAGTAGTTTAAAAAATTATACTTACATATCAGTAAATACACTTGAATATCATTTCAACACAGATCATTACATACACTTGAACATCATGCCAATACATATCATTGCATAAACATGCATATCATTTAACTACACTATTTGTTTTTATCTACACTATTTGTTTTTATCTATCATTTTAGATTTAATTTAAAATTCTATTTTTGTTTTGTTATGTTGAAATAAAATTTGAAACACAAATACAACAGTTGTACAAATTTGAAACACAAGTAAAATAGTTAAAAGTAGTTAATTATTTAAAATCAAATTTATTTTTGCAACAAATTAAAATTTTAAAAGTTTTAAATTATAATAGTAAAATAATAACAATGAAAAATTACAACAACAATAATAAAAACAACATCAAAAATAACAATAATGATATTACTGTTTAAAATTTCTAATAAATAATATCACATTTTGAACAAAATTACATTTTGATTTAAAATATGTCAATAATAAATTAAATTGTAATTGCTTTTTATAAATGGCTCCTTACTGTTCAAGTTTTTTTTTTGAATTGTATTGTTTTCATTTGAAGCTAACAGATTTAGTTAATGTCATAATTTAACTAATGGTTGTCTAATAAACAACATTCAACATGAATTCAACAATATTAAAACTCAATATGAGAAGAAAACAAACTCAAACTGGACCGTGTAGAACCTGTACAAACTTCAAATCATTTAAATCACTAGATTACAAATCACGTGAACATTCAAAACACAAGGGTTTTGATACTCTAAATGAATAAACATGTGTGAGATACAAGAAGTGTAATCAATTGTAAACTGTGTTTACACATTAAAAAAAAGATCCAACCACATTCCAATAGATTGCGAAATCCCTTAACAAAAAAATAAAAATCTATTTAAAAAGTTAATTAGCCTTTGCTGTTCAAAAATTTACTAGCCTTTGATGTTCAAAGTTAATTAGGTTTCACTGTTCAATTATTTCAAATAATTCAGATGGAAAAATGAAAATTAGGATCTAAAATATTTCATTTATCATTGAAAACTTAAAAACAAATATGTTTTTTTGTCGCTTTGATTAACAAGATGTTTTTTTTTTTTTTAATTTAAAATCAATATTAGAATTTTTAAAAAAATGTACCTGTATTTCAGGGTTATCAGCTAATGGAGAACCAGGGGCTAAATTTGTTCGGCGTGACTTATCACGGCCCATTAGAAACCTGAAGAATTTAAAAAAAGATAATCAGCTTTAGTATAAAGAAATATTTATAATGATTAAAATTTAAAAAATATTCATTCAAGTTGAAGAGTAATAAAAAACAGTATTCTAAAGCTTTTGAGTTCTCAAAAATAATCATGTACACATAAAAAAATGTATTTAAAATACTATTTTTATGTTGTTTATATAGTTTCAATCATTATTTTTTTATATTATTATTGTGATAATTGTGAGATTTAATCTTGGTCTTATATGCAAAAGATAAATTCACTTAACCGATAAAAAGTATAGAAATATAGAAATCATTCACATTCAAGAAATATTTCATCTAAACCTTATTATTAATAATAATAAATTTTAAAATTACATTAATGTTAATATTGTTTTTTATATATTTTTTGAATATCTAGTAAATTGAAGTATTTTTTCACTCGAAGTTATCTTAACAGTTGTTAGATACCTTACTGTTCCACTGGTATTTTTAAGTGTTTGTGCAGCAAACTGTTGTGTAACTCCAACTAATGAAATACCATTTACTTCTAAGATTTGATCGTTCACTTGAATCCTTTAAAAAAAATAGTTAATATTATTTTTTATATTTCAAAATTTTTTTTTTAATTAAAGAAAGTTAAAATTATTAAAAAAATGATCAAAATTGATTAAAAATTGATAGAAATTTTTTTGCTAAACTTGAGCTAAAATGAAATTTTAATTTTTTATACAAATACTACAATTTATAATAAAAATTTTATTTTTGACTTTTTAGTTAATTAATTATGATATTTTTGCAGAAACAAGTCAATTTAAACTATCTGATATGGTCAATATTATACTTATATGGAGTAATATTAAATATAACTACCACTATTATTATTATTATTATCATTATTATTTTATTATTAGTAGTAGTATTTTACTCCTACAATTTTTGATGTTCATTTTGTTACTGCTTTGGATGATTAATATTACTATTAGCATTAGCCATAGCGATATAACATTAGCTTTTATTTGCAAGGTTTTTACTTAAGATTAGTACATGTACTATAACCTGCAGTGCATAGGAACTATAATGCCTATGATATATGTTTATAAGTTTATAATAGGAGCTATTATTACCTACAATGCAAAGGAGGTTTAATCATGATCTATTTTTACAATATTTTGACAGGTATCTCAAACTACTTGTCTTCATTTAAATCCATTATTTTTTTCAATTTTTACACTTAGTAGTGAAAAAAATGTTCATTTTAATGAACATGTGCATTTCCCCTAAGCATTAGGGGAAAATCTAAACAGGCAGTGAATTACATGTTTACATTTGTTTTGAAAAATTAAAAAACCTGAAAGCATACATTATTGGCCATACACAAGTATACTTTGCATTTGGATATTTTGTTTTTATTTTGCACAACTTGTATTTGCAACATTGAAAATGTCGCAAATATGAGTTGATTGACCATTAAAATTGGCCAATGATCATATTTGACATATGACAGATGTCCTTTAAAATATTGTTTGTTCTCATAATACTTGTTTCTGACAACTTATTATAATCATTGTCTGATATTTGAACATTTTCGGAATCATTTACCAGAGATACATTGCTAAAAACTTAACAAGTGACTTATTTAAACCAATCTGCTGGAAAATCACCCTATTATTGGTTGCTGCCAAGCTAACAGATAAAACTCTGTTTAATTACTTTTATTATCCATATTTTGTACGAAACAGTAATTAAAAGGGGAGTGTTGACAAAATAAAAAGAAACATTTTTGCTTTGTAACTCTTCTTATGATGGCATACTTTTTTAAGCCATAAAATGATCTACAAATCAGAAAAAAATAGTATTTATTTAAATGCACAATTTCCATTATTATGGAAAAAAAATAATAAAAAAGCTTTTCTACATTGAAATTTTCATTTGTGTTTTTATATGTATGTGTTCTTTTATACAAATTTGGAATTCAAATAAGAGTTTAAAACATTCATTGTTATTATTATCATAATGAAGTAAAAAATGTAAAAAAGAAGCAAAAAAAAAATCCTCATTTATTTATAATGTTCACTGAAATGGACATCTTAAAAAAAATGTAAAATAATGAAAGCAAAATGTTATTTAATGTCTAAAATTTAACTATATTATGCACAACCAATTATTCCTTTATCGAAAATTAACAAATTAGCTATATTTTTCTTCAAATATTAATCAGAAAACATAAAAGCAACAGAACAGCAAAGTTAAACTCACTTCGCCTTATGACCACTTCCCAATGCTGTTTTGCAAATTAAAAATTTGTTGGTAACAGGATTACACATGTTTTTTAATTAACTATAGATACTGCTCAAGACAACACTATCATTTTTTTATGAAAACAACATGTTCTAGCTTAGTACTATATTTTAAAATGTACATTTAAATGTACAGTATACATTAAAGGGTTAAATATATAAAAAATGATTTTAAATAATGATTTTAAATAATGATAAAAAAAAAACTATTATTAAATTACAAATATTGTTGTTTTAAAGAAATAAAGTTCAAAATATTCTATTGTATGTCCTAATAACAATTACACAAGAATAAACATTTTTTATAACAAAAGAGTTTATAACAACTTTCATACATAAAAAATTTATTAACATAAGAAAGATTTTACTTTGAGAGAAAAACATTTAAAAATTGCATACCTCCCATCTTTTTGTGATGCACCATTCTCAGTGAGAGTTTTCACAAATATACCTAGCTTTTCAACTCCAGTTTCTGTACCAACCCCTAATCCTATTATGCTCAAACCCAAGCCTTTTCCATCTATAATATACAAACAAACCTAAAGAATTTATTTTTAGAAAAGAACAGATTTTTTTTATTAAACTATAATAAATGATTTCATGAATAAGTATATCAAAATCAATTTAAAGAATTTCATTGTACTCAATAGAATAGCGTAGAACCATCCCCCCTCCTCTCCTTCCAAAAAAGATAAAAAAATAAAAATATTAAGTAAAATTCTAAAGAGCTGATCAGACACTGGATTTGGACAGTACTCGGAAATAACTAAAAGACATAATGATTTAATTTAAAGTTCTGCTGAGGTGCTGGTTCCCTTGCAACAAACCAAAATAAAGTAAACAATTTCATTCATGAATTATCTTTAGACTGGGTTTTTGCTGTTAGTGGTAACAAATTTAAAAAACCTACCAAACAACTTGACATTATCAACCTCTTTACATTAACAATTAACAACTCAACATTATCAACAGAACAACATCAAAAAATATTTGTATTTATTGACCGCCTAATACCAATAATCAGCAAAGTGAAGAAATTAATAAAAAAATATTTCTTTACAGTAGCTAAATAATTATTAAATACAAATTTGCTGAACTTTTGATCGCTAGTGAATTTCAATTTTTCTTATGTGAAATGGTATAAAGAACTTTCTGTTAGTGTATTAGGTATTAACAGCGGTCTTATCTAAGTGTATTAGTATTAACAGCAGTCAGAATTTTCTGTAAGTGTATCAGGTATTAACAGAAGGTTTGTTGAATCATTAAATGATCTTTGTCTTACCCAACATGTAAGTATTCCTACATTTTCCTCAGCAAACCAAATGGCAAAAAAATACTTAAGCATCTATTTTAATTGTTCCCCACTTGGAGCTGCAACTCAGACTCATATTAGTTTATAATAGTGTTTCAACATCAATTGCTAAAACTGGGAGGATTAACAGTGAATTATATAAATTTCAATCAGGTGATTTCAAAAAAATGTTAAAACTTATAAACAATACAGACTAGTATAAACTATTATCAAATCAAAAAATTTTAAAAATCTATGAGGTTTTTAAATCAGAATACAAACAAATTTGTTCTACAATAATTCCACTAAAACCATGCAAAAAAAAAAACTATTAAAAAAATTCTATGGATAACATATGAAATCTTAAAATTATAGCAACTAAAAAAATAACTTTGTTATCAAAATTTTGATAGCAAATATAGATAATAAGTCTAAATGCAAAAGAGCAAGAAATCAACTTGAAAAACACGAATAACTATTATTTTACGACAAAAAAATCCCTTTAAATATGCGCACTTTTTACTTCATGCCTTTTTGCATCAACAGGATGATTATGAAGAAGATCAAGAATAAAATAACAACTTTTATGGAGAACTTTTATCAAATAAAACAGAAATTGTAAACATTTTAAGCAGTTAATTTAAATTTTGCTTTGGAATTGAAATGAATTGTTTCTGAACTTGGATAACTACACTTTAAACAAGTCATATAACTGTTGATTTCAATAAAATTCTCTTATTGAAATGTTTGATGCAATCAAACCAGTAGGAAACAGACAAAAGACATTCTTACCCTCTCAATAAATGTGCGGGAACTGGGCATTATTTTGTTTATTTATAGTTTTTTTTTTTTTTTATTAACTAATTTCTTTCTCTCTATAAATCTCAAATCCATCCTATTATGGAGTTGTTGCCATATCTGGGGCAGATCTTCTAATGACGCCCTTTCTCTTTTAGACAAAGTGCAAAAACGCATTGTAAACATAGTTAGACCTGCCCTTGCAGCCAACCTCCAACCATTATCACATCGTCGTAATGTTGCTTCTCTTTTTCTTTTCTACAAATACAATTGCCCCCTCATTAAAAGACAAGTAAATTGTGAGAAAGAAATAATGTTGTGTTATAAATGTTTTAAGAAATAAATAGTATAAGCTTAAATAAGTATAAGTTTATTAAAATTAGATTTTTTTTTTTTTACAAACAACATATTTAAATTTTATTGATAATTTTTTTATAACAATATTGTTAAACTTAAAGACATTTTATAAATATTTTTTAAAGACTTTAAATGAATTTTAAGGTTTCAAATTAAAGATTTTTAAGATAGTTTCAAATTAAATTTAATTACAATGCAGTACTTTATTATAGGCAACTGACATATTTTAACAGATAAAATAAGTGCGTACACCTCTGGTAAATATATAAGAGATGTACACTCGTGATCACCCAGCAGTACCATATGACCGAATTTTGTGAAGGGCAACTAAAAATATTGCTTTTATGCAATTAAGTTGCCCAAATGGGCAACTATTGATTTTTATTGGCAGTTCTAGTTTGTTTTGTTTTTAAAATGAAGAATTCTATAAAAAGAAAAATAATGATCTAAAATAATAATAAAACTATATTTTTAAAGACACCATTTCAAAGTTTGTTTTCAGCATTTTCTATTATTAATTAGAACATAAAAAAATTGTTTATTTAAACATATTTAATAAAATACTTCCTAAATAAAAACTAAACAGTTTTGTCGTTTAAACAAAGATACTTTTTTATTTAAGAATTTAGAGATAAAGTAATAGAACTAAATTTGCAAAAAAAAGAAATACTTTGACAGGCCTTGTTAAGAAGCACACTTTTTTGTAAATGTCGAAAGCGTTCAGTTAAGTGAAAACTTTTTTGTAAATGTAAATGTCAAAAGAGTTTTAGTTAATCAAAAACTTTTTTTTTGGAATATTAAAATTATCTTTTACCTTCATTTATGTGACATTTATTCAGAAAGTATTTGGTCATAAAAAAAAGCAAATTAACCAATTTTTTAAGAAACAAATTGTTTTATAAATTTTTTTTTTAATTTTAAAAGACTTAAATTAAATATGATTTAAATTTAAAAAAGTTTCTAATGATATGCCAACTAAATTATTATGTAAAATATAAGTATAAGATATAAAAATGAGTGTATATTTTTTTAATAAAATAAGCACTCAATTCAAGTAAAAAACCTAATGGTGTATATATTGGCATGTGGTTTATCTGAAAGTAGAAAAGTGAATGTTATCAATAGTTTACAATATTACTTTTATTTATGCAAATTACTTTTATTCTACACTTAGAATAAAAGTTACGAAATATGACTATATGCAACAAATGACTTAAAAAACGACTGTATGCGAGAAATCCACTGAGTGCAAAAATTTTTATAAAAAATAGGGAAGGGAGACCCAAAAAGTATGCAGGCAACCAAAATTAACAAACTGGTTACTTTCAGTCGCCCTTCTGGCAACCGACCATATATATATATATATATATATATATATATATATATATATATATATATATATATATATATATATATATATATATATATATATATATATATATATATATATATATATATATATATATATATATATATATATATATATATATATATATATATATATATATATATATATATATATATATATATATATATATATATATATATATATATATATATATATATATATATATATATATATATATATATATATATATATATATATATATATATATATATATATATATATATATATATATATATATATATATATATATATATATATATATATATATATATATATATATATATATATATATATATATATATATATATATAATATATATATATATATATATATATATATATATATATATATATATATATATATATATATATATATATAAATCCGTATTTGGGAGCCAATTTGGGCGCTGACCAAAAAAAAATTTGAGGACAATTTTTTTTTTTTAATGTTTTTTTTTTTATGTTTTTACAGCAAACATTGTTTTTTTCACACAAAAAACGCTGATTTTTTGCTATATATATATATATATATATATATATATATATATATATATATATATATATATATATATATATATATATATATATATCGCTAAGGGTGATATATATATATATATATATATATATATATATATATATATATATATATATATATATATCATAAAAAAATATCATAAAATGTTAGATAAATAGGTTAAAAGCGTATGTACTTTTAGAAAGGTGGAGGGTACTCAAAAAAGCGTATTGCAAAATGCGGCCGTAGACGAAAAAAAAGCATATGTACTTTATGGACCACCTCTAACTATTGGGAGAGAAACTGAAAGCGAAATCTACCTGACTTATGTTATCTTCCTATCTATTAGGTTTACAAAAAAATTAATATAGAGTCCAAATAGATTAGTTTATAATTTACTTACCTTTTAATCACCCTTAGCGATAAAACCTCCATACATAATCTTGGCATTCTACTTAACAACTTATCCAATTTGTCAAAGTTAATTTTATGCTGCTAACAAATAAGTTTTATCCACATCTTATGCATTATTAGGCATTAGTTTTTAACATTAATTTTAGTTCCTCCCATAAAGATCCGATAGGAGAGAGATCTTGTGACTGGGGCGGCTAAATCATTCTATTCAATATTTGATCGTTCTTGAACTCAATCAAATAACTTGTACAATTTATTGAAAAATATATTTTAGATTTAAGCTTTAAGTCATTTTCTTCTGAAAAAAAAATGGCTTCCCATTAACCCATTTTTGTGAAGATGTACCTTGATTTTTAAAGTGTAAAAGTAAATTACTTTTATCATTAGTCCCTCTATTTTTACAAAGTCACCTGTGGCATTGTAACCAAAACAGCTCTACACCTTTAAAGGATCCAAAACATTTTGTGTTCATATTTATAAAAAAAAAAAATGTTTGGGCTAACTTTTTTTGATTAAAACAAAATAATAAATGCATACCAAGAAAAACTAAATTTTTCATTTTAGTTGAAGCTCTCCTTCTCTGTTTTTTTGTAGGCCAAAAAGTCAGCACAATATATGCCGTAATCTACAGACTTGATAATTTATTCAAGCACATTGTATTTCTGAGAGTTTTACTACATGACATCATTGACTTTTTTGTTTGTTTACATAATTGATCTTTTAAATATACAAAAAAAAATAATGACATCATGTACTAAAACTTTTAGAAATAAAACGCGCTTGAATAAATTATCAAGTCTGTAAATTAATGCATATATTATGCTGACTTTTTGGCCTACAACAAAATGAAGAAGGCAAGCTTCAACTAAAATAAAAAAGTTAGTTTTTCTTGGTATGCATATATTCTTTTGTTTTAATCAAAAAGATTTAGCCCAAACATTTTTTTTTATCATTCTCTTTAATATGAACACAACATCGGAGATTCGGATCCTTTTAACACTACATTCACCATGTTTTACAGACGATAATACACATTATTTTATCATACATTAAACAATTTTTTTCTCCAGATAAACAATCTATTCTTGAAACCAAAGATTTAAAACTTTGACACGCCTGTCCACATTTACAGTCATTAATGCTCCATTTTTTATGTAATTTAACAGAAGAAGAAATAAAACACATCTCTAATATTGTTCAGATACTTTATCTTGTAGAGTTAATTATTAAGGCCCTGGAAAAAGGAAACAGTAATCTGATATAATCTGATAAAATTACTTTGTTTTTACTACAAACAAAATACGTTGGTAAAAAATTATTTACTGTTGTCTCTGAGAGAATTACTGAAATAAGAAATTATGTTATTGCTGCTTTACAATGCTATTTACATAATCCAGATGACTTTAAATCAGATTCAGAATTACCAGATAATCTTTTAAAATACTCAAATAAAAATAAAATTACAAAACCAGCTTGAGGAGTTTACATCAATTATTTCTACATGAGGAAGTCTGATATTAAATCTATTTATAATGTGGAACCAAAAAGAAAAAAAAACTTAAACTGAAGAATTAGCAGAAATTATTTTAAATATAACTTCAGCAATAGGAAAAACTAAATGACTTACTAGTAAATCATCTCCTCAAGAAGTTTTGACTTGCATTAAACCAGAAATGGCAGTAATTAAAAGCACTGGAAAAAGATCAATTTTTTAAGAAAAGATTTACAATGCTATAGTAAGTCTTCCACCATCTTCTGTAGAAACAGAAAGATGTTTTAGTGCTGCTGGTTTATTTGTTACCAAGTTAAGAATTAGTTTAAATGATGACATTGTTAATGTTATGCTTTTTAAGAATTGTATTTATTATTTTTTTAATTGTTTTTAAAAATTATTCAAAATTAATTGATTAACTTTTCAAAAGTTAATCATTAATTTATTAATTTGAAATATATATTAATCTACCACCCCTATTCAGGACCACAATAAATTCACCGATGATGTTTCTGAGAACCTAACTATCATCACTCGTTAAGGATACAACCTTGCTACCTTTTTTTTTCATTCCATAAAGACTAAATCATAATAGCCATTACTCCAATAAAATAGACCTCACTACAGAAAAACCACCACAGAAAAACTTATCAAAGATATTTTACCATACTAAATCAGTGTACACTAGCTACAACTGATGAGTAAAACAAACTTTTATATGCAAAAGTTCACATTACCAATGGCACATGCAAATAAAAACTATAAAGTAAGCTCACAAAAAACTATTAATAATCATTAAATAAAAATAAAAAAACAAGCAATATAGCTAGTAGCTAGTAGCAGTTAATAAAAGGCATCAGAGAAATAGTAATTGAACTAGAAATGAAAACTGAAAGACCTCAAACTGAAAGCAATATTGTACTGTTTACAATGAAATATTGGCATAACACAAAAACCTTGTACAAACCTTTCTGTAAATCAACTGAAAAAACATCCATTTTATCAACGCGCTTTTCTAACTCCCATTCTGCAGATGATGCAATTGGATCAATATCAGCATTAGCACGGTCATACTCAGCTGCACCATATGTAAGAATTGAATCAATCAAATTTTCATCACGAAACAAAACCTAAAAACATATTTCATAAGAAAAATTCTACAAAGTAATAAAGAAAGTGCATAAACTTTAATCAAAAAATAATTTATATGCACAAAAAAAAAAATAATAATCATAAAACAGTAAAATCAAAACTTATTACTTTTTAGAACTTTTAATTAATTTTTTTTTTCACATATAATTAAAAAAATTTATTATTAAAAAAATATTTATTTAATATTTAACATGCATTGATATATGAAATTTTTAAATAAAATTTACCTATTTTTTAAAAAAATATTTGCTCTCACAAGGCTATAAGCAACCACTTATGGAACTGGGAGTTAATAGAAAGAAAAGTGTTAAACAACAAGAAAGAGATTGAAAATTTAAAAAACTGTAAAAACTGTAATTAAGTATGAGTAAAGGAAACATGAAGATGAATTTCAAAGCACCAAAATTTAAAGAAAAAAACGATAAAAATTAGTTTTTTAAGCATGAAGGAACAGTTACAATAACGGGATGCTACTTTGTTGAATGTGATACTAGTTTGAATTTTGGTTGATGGAACAAGTGATAGTACCTCAATTGAACAACAACCATGTTAGTATTTGTGGAGAATGGAATCAAGAATAATAAAATTTTAGCATATTCTAAATTTGCAATGTATTGTATGTATGCTTTCCATGAGATGTCACTAGTAAAGGATAATCCAAGAAGATGTAGAGATGTATATGTAAAAGAAGTAGGGAAGCCAAAAAAAAAGTGCATTGACATTCGTCATTTGTTTTCTTGTAAAATCTTTATGCAGGTAAAGCCGATTCAGCAAAATAAATAAGCTGTTTTCCTACTGGGCTAAGCTTGGGCAGCAAAATAAATTAAACAGTTTCCTATAATTTATAAATTAAAATATAAATAAATTTAACCAGTCAAATATGTACCTAAAAATATAAAATAATGTTAAAAGCTCATAGATGTATCATAAAATCAAGTTTAAAAATCAAAAATATCCATTAGTTTTGTTTTGAATTCACTTTGGTTCTTACTATGCTAAACAGTGAGTGGTAGACAACTATATTAAACTTTTCTTCAAAGCTATACGAATATCAACAATTAAAAATTATTAGCAGTAAACTGAGTTTTTTTTTTTTTTTTGGATTAAAATTTACCAGCCAATGCAAGCCACTGCAAACACAAGCTGTGAAAGAAGAGATATCACATTCAAGATTGACAGTTCTAAAAAAAAAAAGATATGACTTTAGTCAAGACTGGAGTATATATTTGTGCCACAAATAGACCCACTTTAAAAGTAAAGTCATCAGAATGATCATTAAGATAGATAAGAAACAAACAGAAATTAGAACAATATGGAGAAGAAATATGGAACCTTTTGGTACCCCAGAAGTTACTGGTAATGAAGGAGAGTGTTGTCCATCAAGAACAACTTTAATATTGCGGTTAGAAAGAAATGATTTAATGATTTGAAATATACACCATACACCATATAAAGCAAGCTTATGAAGAAGGCCAGCATGTCAACTTTATCAAAAGTTATTGATATGTCAAAAGTGGGACACTTTACCCCACCAATTCTATTTAATGCATAATAGAACCTTTTGTTTATAATAGTTATTAAGTTAGCAGTAGAATAAGAAGATCAAAATTGGTATTAATTTTTAGAGAGTCAAAAGACTCAACACAAGATAATAAAGTTTAACAATTTAAGATTCAAAGATATTGCTGATAATAATAAAAAGACTGATTGGCTTATAGTAACTGATTGGCTTATAGTAACTGATTGGCTTATAGTAACTGATTGGCTTATAGTAACTGATTGGCTTATAGTAACTGATTGGCTTATAGTAACTGATTGGCTTATAGTAACTGATTGGCTTATAGTAACTGATTGGCTTATAGTAACTGATTGGCTTATAGTAACTGATTGGCTTATAGTAACTGATTGGCTTATAGTAACTGATTGGCTTATAGTAACTGATTGGCTTATAGTAACTGATTGGCTTATAGTAACTGATTGGCTTATAGTAACTGATTGGCTTATAGTAACTGATTGGCTTATAGTAACTGATTGGCTTATAGTAACTGATTGGCTTATAGTAACTGATTGGCTTATAGTAACTGATTGGCTTATAGTTTTATAGAAGGGTCAGAGCAATATTCAGAGTTTTTAAAAAAAATTAGAACGCCATTTCCAAACAGGCAGGAAAAAAAGGTGCAGTTGAGCACTTTTTAAATACTTTAAAGAGTAATGAAGTGAGAACACAACCTATTAAATACACAAGCTGTCGAGGGGTTTGAGTAAAAACTTTAACTTTAGCAACAGAAGATGATTTAGATGTCTAATAGTGAAATAACCTGTTTCTTTGGAATGACAAGAAGAATGTTAGTATTTGATTGTAAAATTTGAGTGTGATATTTAATAACGACAGTGTTAAATATTTTTCAAAAGTTACTAGAACCTAACTTCTAAAATAAAATAGGAGATTTAGTGATTCTGAGAATAATGAAAAATAATAAAAAAAAAACCTTTGCATCAATTCTTACAATGATAAAGATGTTTGCCCTTAAAAATATTGTAATTAGAAATAACAGCTGTACAAGGAGAAAACCATGGAGTAGAGTAAAATTTGACATGAAACCAACATAAAGTAATAAAAACTACCATGCCTACCATAACCCAGGAGAATATGAAGAAGCCTGAATTTTCAGCAGAATAACAAAAAACAACAACTCAAAGAACATCACAAGAAAAATCCTAGCCTAGAAGAAAATCAAGTACAAAGATAATTTGATGTAGAAGAAGTACATAATAAATGTTTTAGTGAGATCATAGCAAGATCTTTACCACCTATAGAAGAACAAGGAGAAAGTGAGCACAAGCTTGGATCAGAGAAAAGAGACAAATCAAAAACTGAAAATAGGTGGTAAAGATTTTCTGGAAAACGTGTCACTTTTAAGTTAATTATCTGCATAAGAGATTGAGAAAGACAAAATTTTGAGCTTTAGGATCAGTGTTACTAGAGCCAAGCTATTCAGTGTGATGAGCAATGAAGTCACTAAAAACAACAATATTAGCTGAGGAATAATGAGAAAGTATTTGGTAAATTTGATTAGATCAACATTAAGAAAGAGTGCAGTCTTGGGAAGGAAAACAAAAAAAAAAACATAAAGATGATTGCGTGGAGAAGTGCTAAACAACATTAAAAAACATTCAGAGGATTCAAACCTGATTTCATAACATAGAGGTGAATTCATACATAAGTGTATCCTTAAATGCACTTATGCCAAACATTTCACATGTTTATAATTTTTGTAAATCAAAAGATAATAATCATCGACACTGAGATCATAGATAAAAAAGCCAAATTTAAATTAGTCTCACAAAACGCAAGTGGGTTTGATCAATTTTCTAATAGGTAAGTTCAATGGACGATAAATTACTTTAAAGATCACAAATATTTGTAAAGGATAGATTGAAACTATTTGGTTATAATTTCTATGTTTAATATTTTTAGGTACTTTATTTAAAACAGTTTAAAAAAATAATATGTGAAGTTAGATCTATAAACGTTCTGGATATATGTACTGAAAATGCAACTAATACAAAACGAACATGACATCTACTAGTTCACAATTTTTCTCACATTTGCTTTTATGGATGTCTGGCTATTAAATTTGATTTTAATTAATGCAAGGAACCTGCTATTGATTTATATCAATATAAACTTTATTGATTTAAATAAATAGCAGCTTTCTTACAAGATTGCACAACCCTATGGTAAAATAATGACTAATGGATAAGAACAATGGTAAAAGCAATAAAGAACTAACAAATTTTAACAGCTTGGTTAAAACAACACCAGCAGAAATTAGGAGCAGTCATTCAACAATCACTTCCAGTTAAAACTATGTTTTTAAAAAATTTTCATTTAAAACTAGGTTTCTTAAAAATCCAATTATATCTATTTGGTCTTATAGTATTTATCAAACTGAACTATTTAATATTTAAATAGCCTTAAAAATAGGGAGCTAAATATTTAATTTCACTGTATGAAAAGCCTTTAGAACAACTGGTTAGCACTGTGGGGATTTGTTGCACCATTTTTAATTTCTTAAAACATGCTATATTCAATACTTTTAAATTATATTTGTATCATAAATACATATAAGTACCAATTGGGTCATTTCATGTCAACTGAACCAGTGATGTTCACCACACCATCTCAGATCTTCCTGAAATTTGGGCTTGTAGTACATACAAAGTTAAGCAATTACTGAAAATTTTAGGCCATTTTGTCAAAAACTTTCTGAGATATGATTTTTTAAAGTTTTAAGGGTTGTCGCGAGTTCACATGACTTATACATTTTCACGATATTTGAACGTGAATATTTCAAAAACTAAAACAGGTATCACACTGAAATTTTCAGTATTTACTCATTTTTTCATGCTGAGTTGAATGGTATTTTTATATCAAATGTAGCTTGCATACAATATCCCCTAAAGATGTCCAAACATTGCACTTTAGACAATTTTCACCAATATTTGACCCAATATAGCCAAGAACCTATAAAACATGGAATGATGTTTGTCATACCATTAATAAGTACTATTTATGTGTTTATTATTTTCATAGAAAATTCATGTTAATCAATAATAGTGTACCCATTGTAGGCACCGTTATGCATCATGGTCATCAATTTTTTTTGCGCATTGCGACCCCAGATGACTATGTTGACAGTAATTCACACATTTCATATTTTGCACACTTATTAAACTCAGTAAGTAATAGCTATGGTGAAAATTTCATGTTGGTGTCTTGCCTCTTTCTTGGTGAAAAATCTGCAAGAAATTAAATATTTTCAAATGAATTTTTTGTTTAATATTTTATTTAGGCATTTCATATTATTAATATATAATTATTAATTTATTTTTTTTATTATTATATTTTTTTTAAGTATTAATTTTTTTTAGGAATTTCATTTTTTTAATAAAAAACATTTATAATCATATACTAAAAGTTTTATTGAATTATGAGAAAGTAGCATGTAAATTTGTATTTTTTTTGGTTGAATTAGTATGGAATGTTTTTATAAAAATATGATACCACATTTTTTTTATATTTGATATAGATTCAATATTTACTGAATTTGGCTGAACTACAATTGTGCATATTTGGACTGTTGCTTCAAGATGAATGCCACAAGACTTTGAATTGTTGATGTTAAGAACCAAGCCTGTTGATCAATTACAAAGAGAGAACTGCAATATATGCTTCCACCACGAACAGGTTCTACTTGAAAAATTTAATAAATTGCAATGGAGTTGTTGTGATCCATTCAATAAACATCAATGCAAAGTCACAAAGTCACTGAGGGCAGTCAGTATTGACAAAGCCAAGGAGCTAACACAAACAACTGGGAGACACATCAAACTTGGTGAGAAGCTATGTCCAAGCTGTCAAAAGTACGATACACACAGGAACCTGAACAGAGTTATGGACATTCAGCTAGTGATACCGATATAGAAGACGTTGACTTGCATCTTTCTCAACTAAATGACAATATAACAAGCATTGGCTGCACACCATGCAATGCCTGTTCGAAGTAGAATTTCATGTCAAACATAAAATTGCAACTGCAACAACAGAGATCCAGAAGAAAGTAAGCAAAGTCATCCAAGTACCTATTAATATATTGTGAATGAAGGTGATGCTAAAGAATGTGATGGTTGCAATGACTTTTTTTTTTTTTATTTATTTTAATTCTCCTCCTCAAGGCCGAGAAGGCCACTACAGACGAGGAGGCTACTTATTTGTGGCTATAACCCTCTCAACTCTATAACTCCGAAACATGAACCTTGACGAACAAGGCCGCTGCGCGGAGAAACAAGTTGAGCGCGGTACTACCAGGGACGTGGGATATAACAAAACTTAACAAAACTAGTGACTGAATTAAAGATTAATTGCAGTAAAGCTTCCAGGCAAGAAAAAAGATGGTAACACTAGCACCATCTAGCTGGAGCCAACAAAAAGTCTCACAGGAATTTGGAGTAACCAGGCACGAAGTTAAGCAAGAGAGAAAACTGAAGAAGTCATGTGGAATTTTGGCATACCCACAGAAAAAACATGGCAAAGTTCTCCCAGATGATGTGATTGAAAGTGTACCTAAATTTTTTGATGATGACGAAATTTCCCGCATGTGTCCAGGTCAAAAGAAATTCTTGTCAATCAGAATTGATGGTGAACGTGTTCATAAACAAAAACGTCTTCTACTTCTGAATCTCAAAGAGATGCATGCAGAATTCAAAAACTGCAAAATTAAAATTAGGCTTAGTAAGTTTTGTTCACTGCGACCACCATGGTGCATTACTATTGACTTGAGTGGTGCCCATGCAATCTGTGTCTGTGAGACTCACTAAATTTTAAAACTAAAACTAGAACTGATTATAAGGACTTGTTCCTGAAGGTCGTTTGTTCAACTGAGAATTGAGAATGCATGTTGCAGCATTGTTCTATTTGTCCTGATATTGATGAACTGAAATCATTTCTTGAACAGCTATTTGATGAAGCTGATATGGATTTAAATGACATAATCAATAACAAACGATGGACCCATGATGATCAATCAAAGCTGCAATCTGTATGTGAGACTGTTGCTGACTTCATTACTTCACTTTGTACTTTTGCTGATAAAACAACGGATCATCATTTCATGGCCAAGGCACAGTCATCCTACTTACATCATCTGAAGTAGTATTTGCCAGTTGGAACAGCAGTTGTGTTGCTGGATTTTGCAGAAAATTATTCATTTATCTGTTAGGATGCAGTGCAAGGCTTCCACTGGGAAACATCACAGGCTACATTGCATCCATTTGTTGTATATTATCAAGAGCTACCCAGCAATGACCTATGCTGCTTGTCTCTTTGCATTATAAGTGATGACTGTGAACATGTAGCAGGTACAGTCCATGCCTTCATTAAAATAGTGCTGACATTTCTCAGGAGCGAAATGCCTGATTTGTAGAAAATAGTTTACTTCAGTGATGGAGCAGCAGCACAATATAAAAACCCCAAAAACTTAATCTGTGCATGCATAAAACATATTTTGGTATTGAAGCGGAGTGGAATTTTTTTGCTACCAGTCATGGAAAAAGTCCTTGTGATGATATTGGTGGTACAGTAAAGAGGCTAGTGGCAAGAGCAAGTTTGCAGGCAACTCTGCAAAATCAAATACTAACCCTTCAACAAATGTACGATTTGGCAACCAAAAACATTCCAGGAATTCACTTCTTTTTTGCAGCAAAAGATGACGCCGAGGTGCATCATAGCTGTTTGGTTAAACGATTTGCTTCAATTCAAACTGTTCCTGGCACACGGTCAAACCACCAGTTTGGGGCAGTAAGTGAAAACAAACTGAAGATATTCAGGTTGTCATGTGATGAGTTGGGTACAATCGTCAATGTGTCACCAGAACCTGACCTGGCAGTTGAACCAGCACCAAGTATAACAGATTTGCATCCAGAATAGTTTGTGAATATTGTTTATGACACTGATTGGTTTATTGGTTGCATAACAGAACATTCTGATGAACATCAAGATATTTTGGTAAAGTTCATGAACAGAACGCCTACAAACAGATTAACTTGGCCACATCGTGAAGATATCTGCTGGATACCATTCACTAATGTGCTGTGCAATCTTCCACCACCAATGTTATCTGGCAGTTCAGCAAGACAGTATTTCTATGATGATGAGCCTTTTGACAATTGCAAGAAACTGTTTGATAGTAGAAATGTGTGTAAATAGATAAAATACCAACAGTTAAATGCATTGGCACCATACGCTGATATCGCTTTACATGGTTGTTTGTATTGTTGATAAAAACAGTCTGATTTTGTAACTTAAACTAATTAGTTTTTCATAAAATTTAATTGAGAGTTCATTGCTTTGATGATCTACCACAATACACTTAAATGTACAAAAAATATTTTAAAAAAAACTTAACGAAATATGGTTTTAATTAGCAATTGATTTAGTAGGAAAGGCTTAAGACACCAACATGAAATTTTCACCATAGCTAGTACTTACTGAGGTTAATAAGTGTGCAAAATATGAAATGTGTGAATTACTGTCAACATGGTCATCTGGGGGTTGCAATGCGCACAAAAATTGATGACCGTGATGCATAACAGTGCCTACAATGAGCATACTATTATTGATGAACATGAATTTTCTATGAAAATATACGGTACTTGTTAATGGTATGACAAACATCATTCCATGTTTTATAGGTTCTTGGCTATATCGGGTCAAATATTGGTGAAAACTGTCTAAAGTGCAATGTTTGGACATTTTTAGGGGATATTGTATGCAAGCTATATTTGATATAAAAATACCATTCAACTCAGCATGAAAAAATGAGTAAATACTGAAAATTTTAGTCTGATACCTATTTTAGTTCAAATATTGCGAAAATGTATAAGTCACGTAAACTCGCGACAACCATTAAAACTTTAAAAAATCATATCTCAGAAAGTATTGACGAAATGGCCTAAAAATTTCAGCAATTGCTTAATTTTGTATGTACTACAAACTCTGAAAATTTCAGGAAGATCTGAGATAGTGTGGTGAACAATTGTCAAACTGATTGAGTAGATATGGAATGACTCAATTAAATATTTTGTCACAAACATAGTTCCTTCAAACTTAAAAAGTTAATGTTTTAATAAATTTTAAATAATGTAAAATTAAAAATTAAAGTTTTATTATGATAAAAACATAATAAAAACATAAAAAAATATTATAATAAAAACATACATTCTTTTTGGGTCTATTTTTAGTGTTAGATGACAAGTTTGATTTTGCAGGTGGTGGAGGTAACATGTTTTCCAGATCATTTTCTGAAACATCCTCTTCAGTGTCACTAACACGATCACTACAAGAATCACAAGATGAATCAGGTATATTAAATGATGAATTCAAATCATCAATCTCATCAATTGTCCTTTTAGGATCTTCAAGGTTGTATTGATTCTCTTCTGAATTTTTTTTTAACTTATCAGGTAATATGGATATATTTTCGAGTGAAGAACGTAAATTATTAAAAGGTTGTTTCTTAAATGGATTTATATTTAGGTCCAAAGAATTTAAAAAACCATCATTTGAGTCAGTTTCACTGCTATCTGTTTCTATGGATGTTACTATGATTTTTTCATTATTCGTTAAATCAACAATATTTTCATTGCTTTCAATTTTAATAGATGAATCTAACAAAGGAACTTCATGACTTATAAATTCATCAAATCGTTCTAACGCACTTTTCTTTTTATTCAAATTTTCAGCATCTTTTGCATGAGAATCACCGTTACATATATGTGGTGCTGCATCATTATTAACATTAAATTGCTTATAAACAGGATCACATTGAACACTTTCTGAAACATCAATTTTAGTAGATAGCTTACCTTCCTGTAATATTTCTTCTCCATGCTTATGTTGACTCAATTTAGAACTTTGTACTTTTATATTTTCAGATGTTATTGGTTTTGATACCATTGATATTTGCTTTTCATCTTCAGTGAGAATATCATCTAAACGCTCTTTGAGAGATTTTCTTTTAATATTGACTAAGTTATCTTGTTCAATTTTTTTCAAACGATCTAGCCGGATAACATTTTCCATAGGAAGCACATTTTTATTAACATGTAATTCTTTTTTGACCTCAGATCCATCAACCATATCTGATTCTTGTGGAGTAGGAGAAGGTGCTAGAATAGAGTTTACATCAATTTTACTTGCTCCAACAGAGGAAAATTTATTTTCATCATCAATATTGCTACTTTTTTGATTTCCTGTTTCGCTAATAGATCCAGGAACATTAGTTACTAATATTTTATCAATGTCTAATTTTGTTTTTAAAACAGGTTCTTTAATTGTACTAAAACTTGTGTTATGGGCTAAGTTCATTTCTTTTTTGGTTAAAATTTCAGAATAAGGCCTTTCATTTCGCCTTGTTTGTCCTGTCCTTAATTGAACACTATTTGATTCTTTAGATTTGTCAAAAATAGAACGCAATTTTCCGACATCGACATTGTGTTCTAATTTTTCAGTATTATTATCTGTATTATTAGATAAATAACTATTAGTATTTGGACTCTTATCAGCAAAATTTTTGGAAATATTGTTGTTGTGAGGAGTCATTACAGTGTGTCTTCCAGTATCAAATAATTTTAAAGATCCTTCAAGTTCATTTCCAACTTTATTATTTTTATCGGATTGAATGTGTGCGTTATTACTGCTTTCTTTTGGTTTAAGTGCATGAAGCAAGTTTTTATACTGAAAATTGCTACTACTAGAACCGTCGTTTTTATTGTATGACCTTGGATTGCTCTTCAATAATCTGTCACTGTCTTTTAAGGCATCATGATATAGATCGTTAGCCATTTACTTGTTTAAAACTATTAATAGTTATTGAAAAATATCATACTAATCTATCATAAAGCGAAAAGTTCAGTAAAAGAAATGAACAACGATAAAAAAAATAACAAATAAAAATAGACGACATTCTCCATCGTAGTGGCCCCCGCAACTTTGGAAAAGGCTAGTTAAAACATTAAATGCTGCCATATTTTTATAAATATTTTTTTTTCAACATAAGTATGGGTGAGGAGAGAAATACTTAAAATTCCTCCGGGTGATTAAACTTGTTTAATAAAAGTAGATATAATTTTACATTGAAGTGAAAAAATTATAATATACTTATTCATGAGACAATAAACAAAATAATTTTTTTTTGAAGATTAATAAAGTTATGACAAATTTATTAGATTTCATAAAACAAAGCTTTGGAATTTCTTTTATTAAGCTTTCAAATGTGTAATAAAACACTTTAATATCGACTATAATCTTTTGCATTCATGTTGAAAAAGGATAAAAGGTTATATCCTGTTTATTTATAACCACTTAATTTATACCGTTCAAGTAAATTTATGTCGTTTAAAACGAATAGAATATTAGTTAAGTTTCATAATAACTAATTTTTTTATTATTATTCGTGCCATTCACCTCTTTTTTTTTTTCGTAAGAGAAAATTTAGTTTAACGCCGCGCTCACAAAAAAAAGAAGTGAACAGAACCCAAATTTTTTGACATCAAAAATAAAACAATTATATTTTCCATCATCAGGTAGAAGCTTTGTTAGCCTAGATGTATTGAACCTTATATAAAATGAGAGGTCTCTAAGTTAAATATCGTCTTAACTCTCGAATACTTAACAATTATTTGATGAAATTTAAAACCTGTTATGAATTTAGATTTAACTCAACATAGTTTAAAACAAAAATTATCAGTGTATTGCCTCGCAATTGGAGTAGAGGATGCAAATTTTGAGGGGTAATTTTATTCTCGGGCTAAAATCACCACGATTTTTCGCAAAGCCTTTTTCTTTTACATAAACATGAAAATACTTAAGTTTAGAGTGTGCGCGTTGCTTCAAAATGTCATATCTGTCATATATCAATAAATACATATTATATATATATATATATATATATATATATATATATATATATATATATATATATATATATATATATATATATATATATATATATATATATATATATATATATATATATATATATATGTATATATATATGTGTGTGTGTGTGTGTGTGTGTTTATATATATATATATATATACATATATATATATATATATATATATATATATATATATATATATATATATATATATATATATATATATATATACTATATATATATATATATATATATATATATATATATATATATATATATATATATATATATATATATATATATATATATATATATATATATATATATATATATATATATATATATATATATATATATATATATATATATATATATATATATATATAGTACCGGCTCGAGCAAGCGCGAGATCCGACGCGAGTTTAGTTTGCGAGGCCTTCAATGAAAACCTAAAAAAAATGGAGGGTTTGAAGAGTACTAATGTACGAGGGTAAAATCGTGTTTTTATACATAATCGTCTTTTAAATATAAAATATATAAATATGTATAAATAAAATATATATGTAGTATATAAATACTTAATAGCGTCAAACTAGTTTAAGCAAACCTTTATTTTATATACTAAAACTCCCTTTATTTCATATACTAAAATAATCCCAATTTACAAAGATAACGATCATTCGAACATTACAAATTATAGATCTATATCTTTACTTTCTGTATTCTCAAAATTATTTGAACGCGTATTTTATAATAGAATATTCGAATATTTCACTAAAAATAACTTATTCTACCCAAAACAATTCGGATTTCAAAAAAATCACTCGACTGAGCATGCAATTATTAAAATAGTCAACCAAATAACTGATGGGTTTGACAATAACAAATTTACTTTAGGAGTATTTATAGATCTATCTAAAGCATTCGACACAGTTGACCATTGCATTCTCTTTCATAAAATTAAGCATTATGGTATAATTAATACAACCTATTTCTGGATTAAAAGTTTTCTTACTGATAGAAAGCAATACGTTCATAATGTGCAATCCGGAATATTAAATGTCGTTTGCGGAGTTCCACAAGGACCAATCCTTGGTCCGCTCTTATTCTTAATCTATATTAATGACTTTTGTTATGCATCATTAAAACTGAACTCAATAACGTTTGCAGACGATACTAATTTATTTTTTACCAATAATCATATTAAACATCTTTATACAGATATGAACATAGAATTGAATAAAGTAAATAGTTGGTTTAAAGCTAACAAACTCACACTTAATGTTGAGAAAACCAACTATTCTCTATTCCATAACAAAAACTCAAGAACTAAACATTCCTCTTAAATTGCGCGAGCTGTACTTAAATGATACAATAATTAAAAAGCAAGCAAGTATAAAATTCCTCGGAATCCTTGTCGATGAAAATTTATCCTGGCTTCACCATATAAATTACATACATTCAAAAGTTACCAAAACTATTGGCGTAATGTATAGGGTTAGACCATACGTCAATATGTTAAGTCTCAAATTAATATACTTTAGACTGATACACTGTTTTATTAATTATGCAAATATATCATGGGCAAGTACGCAAACTTCAAAACTTCAAAAAATTTATAGGCTCCAAAAACACGCTTGCCGTATTATATACTGTAAACATAAACGTGAACATGCAAAACCTTTTATGAGAGATATGAAAATGATGGATATATTTGAAATAAATATTTATCAGCATCTAATCTTTATGTATAGATACTATAACAACCTCTTGCCAGAAAACTTCAAAGATAAGTTTGAAATAAATTTAAATGAAAAATATGGTCTAAGATCAAATAGAAATAAAAACTTTAAATTGCCTCGGAAATGTAATAAACTCTCAGAATTTTGTATATCTTATCGAGGACCTAATTTATGGAATGACTGTCAAAAGGAATTTAAATTTATGGTGAAGTCTTTAAGTTCATTTAAGTTTCAATTAAAAAAAGAAATTTTTAAAATTTGAACTTAAGATAAAGTTTTTTCTTTTTACTTTTTCGATTAATTTAACCTTGTCTTGACTTTTTAATGATAACATTGTTATTGTTATATTTTTATACGAGCTATTTATTCTTACGTTGTTTTATTTAAACTTGTACCTAGGGGTTCTATGAAAAGATTGCGATAACGTAATGTTATCCTTATCTTCCTTGAGCCCCTATCTGATTTAACTTAATTTTGTTGTAATGTATATACTTTTATATTTTATTTAATGAGATTTCATATATATACGTGCATTGTAATAATATTATATGATGTTAAGCAGAAAAAAAAAGTCACTAGTTATTATATTGAACAAAAATACATGCTTTATTTTTGATAAAACAAACTATGGTTTTTATTTAAAGCAATTGGGTATAAAAATCTTTAACTAGTCAACGAGCACAAAACGTGAAAAAATCAATCAAAGAAGCTCATATATCAAGCTCGTCATGATTATGAATTTGACTTGGTTATAGCCATGAAATTGAAACACAGCCCAATGATCCTGTTTAAGTATGTGAGTAACATACAAAATGTTAAAACAACTTTGAAAGAAATTAATGGGAACACTATCACAAATCTAATAGACACTGCAAATCGGTTGAACAATCTCATTTAAGGTGTTTTCAACAAAAAATAAAAACAATAAATTTGCAAATACTCGCAAATAACTGGTTAAATATGGTTAAAAACAATCTAAGTGATTTTTCAGTTGATTAAATTGTAGGTATGGATGTTGTAAGTGCACATGTACTGCAATAAAATACCGACAGCTTCATGATACCATTAAGCACCATTTTTGAAAATTCTCTATATAATGGTTGTTAACCTGAAATATGGAAAAAGGCTAACAACAACAACACTGTTCAAAGGAAGTATACTCAGCCCAAGCATTTACTGATATAAATAAAAATTATGTAACAGTATGGTCGATCACTCAGTCAAGCGTGGCTTATTTAAACCAATCAACTGGGATTCTCTAATAAAAAGCATGTGTAACTAATTTACTGAAGTTAATTGAAATAATGTCAAAAACATTACAAACAAAGTTACTTAAAAAAAAGACCAATCAAAGAACTTAAATTACGCAAATATTGCTTAGAGCAATACTATTAAAGGCAAACTAGAAAACAAAAACATGCTTTAAAAATAATAAATTTTGAAAATAAAACCGTACATGCAAAACCACAATTTAAAATTATGAAAATTTATACATTATACAAGCTAAACATATATAAAATTTTATGCCTTATGTACGAAAGTAAATTCCAACAATGCCCTTTAATTTTTTACGATCTCTATGAAATAAAACCTAACTTTAAATATACCTAGCATACAACTTTTTAATTGAACCTTTATGCAAAACTAAGCAGGAACAATTTAAGATATCGTGATAAAGCTAATTTATGCCTTCTTCTTGCTCCAGCCAACTATTTTATTTTGTTATATTATTGAACATTGTAAATCTTTTTTAAACGGCAAAATAAAAAAATAAAGAAAACAAAAAAACATTATCTGACAAGGTCAATTGATGTAGCATTCATAGATTTCAGTAAAGCAATTGATATGGTTCTACAAAAGCGACTAATTCACAAACCTGAGGCATATGGTACTAAAATCATTAATAGTGTACTGTTTAGTAATTTTAATTTTTAATTTTCTATCAAATTTTAAGATAAAAGACTTCTTGATACTCGTAACTCTCGTACGTGCTTGCCTCGATCTCCTATCCATAATTGCAGTTGACGCACCGATGTCATTAGAGATTTGCACCTCTCATGAAAATGGAAGTGTGATTAGTTCACATAGTTCACACCAACCTCATCTAAAACTATTCATATTTAGGAAGAGTTTACTTACAAGAAGAAAAACTCTGCCAGTACTACCATTTTTACTTTTGGGTCAGATTACTGAAATCAAATATATAATGAGTTAGTTAAGTACTTTAAGAAAAATCCACTAAAGGCAAAACTGGAAGAACTAGATTTATTTAACTTAACAATTCAGAGTCGGAGCAAATTTATTGGCTTTTTTGAAGCTCTTTTATTAAATTTAAATTAATAGAAAAATCGCGTGAAAA